TCTCCTGTTAGCCCAGCTAGATAGATAACATTGTCTGGGGTGCTTGGCTGAAGGGATACTAGGCACATGACTTGTGCACAAAAATGTTTGAAAGCAAAATAGTAGGTAGAGCTTAGCATTTGATATCACTACTTAGTGTTTCCAGCAGACAGCAGTTAGGGTCATTAGCCTTTTTAATGAAGGCTTATGTTTATACTCTCTGATCTCTCTTCCCTGTCACATCCTATGTAGTACAGTGAAACACACAGGCATAGATGTGACATTTGATTTGAAAAGGGCTGCAACAATGACTTTTCCTAGTCTGAAAAGGGCTGTTTCTTTTGTTTTTGATTAGAAGCCAGGCATCCAGTGCACCCAAACAATATTAATCTTCGTGCAGCTTGCAAATGGCCTTTCTGTGTATGAATATGACTAAGGGTGAGAGGATACATAATTTAGGTGGTTCCCAATAGCTTGTGTCGGCTATATTTTTTTTCTATTTTTGCTTTGTTTAAAAAGGAATAGTATCCTAATTTTTTTTTTCACTCATGACTGACCTATTTTAAGAGGGTTCTTACTTCCCAGCAGCTGACGATTTTGGCCAAACAAAATTAGGGCCGTAAGATTTACATCTTTTCCATTATTTTGGTCTGAGTTTCTACAGTTCCCCTTTTCCTCTGTGAGTCATTCTTCCTTCTCCTCTGCAATGCCCCCAGTCCTCTTTACTCTACTCAGCACTTTCCAATAGAAGTAAACAATTAATAAGGACACCAGACAAGATTAGCTGCCAGTCGAAGGTTGAGATTGAAACCCTGCCTATGGAATGGGACTTAGAAGGATTGTGTTGCTCAGTTCACTTTAGTAACTGATGAGGCCTTGGGGTGATGGGGATTTGTTTCTATTTTCCTTTTGATTTTGAAAAATCTCGTCACTGTTAGCGTTGCCTGTTTATTCAACTGAAAAAAAAGTGACTTTTTTGTTGTTGTATGGAGCAGTATAGCTGACCCATAAGAATGATTGCTTCTGATAGTGGCTAGACAGATACTTTGTATAGATTTCAAGTGTAGGAATGGATTCTCGGTGTCACTGCACAGTCTGGAACGCTGTCTGGAAGATTTTTGCTCTTTGAGTGGTTTTATGGAAGTAGCTTTCACCTGTTGCACTCTTGCAATACAGACTGTTAGACACGTTTGCAGAAGTGACCTCTCTTTTAGGCACTCAGCAACTGATTTGTGTGTACACAATCTGCACTTGTGCACCCAGAGCAGGCACCATAACTATGTCTATCTACTTGATCTACTTTTGTGTTGCTAAGATTATAGTTTTGGAACATCCAGAAACTTAAGTGTGTGACATTAGGTAGCTGAAATAAAGAGGACACATTGAGGCAACTGAAGAATTCTCTCTCTCCATTTAAAAACAACATCTACAGATCCTAGTCGGGTGGGTTTCTTACTTTTGTACCATAGAAATAATATGGACCACTATACTGCTTAGGTGGGTATAGTACTGGTATTTTGCAGGGGTGGAATTATTATTTATTATATAACCAAGGTTGATACCCCATTGTGCTAGGTGCTGTACATACTCATAGACAGTCCCTGTCGCTAAGGACTTGAAAACAAAGTAGACAGGACAAAGAATGAAAAATGGAAATGGTATCCCTATTGTAGAGATGGGAGCTGAGGCAGAGATTCAAGCTCAATTTTCAAAGGAATGTATGGCATTTAGACACCTCTTCCATTAAAGTTAATGAAGATGACTTCACGAGACTACTTTGAACATCTCAGCCTTAGTGACTTGCCCAAACAAGGTCACACAGTAAGTATGTGACAGAGCTGGAAATAGAACCCAGATCTGCTGAGTCCCATCAGAGAAATGACAGTGGGAATGGCAGGTGGAAGATGTAGCTTATTGATGGGCTTGCCACAGTTGAGCAGTAAACTAGGAACATAAATATGACAGAGTATGATAGATGAGTGACAAAGTATTTATGCCGAGAATAGAGAAGTAACGTGGTACAAAGCAAGAAAATGCTGATATTTCTGTTGCAGCTCTACAGAGAGGAGGAGAACGGGGAGAAATGCAGGAATAGATCATGAGAATTGAGGCCTGTTGTACTGATTTTGGTTGCCACATTAATTATACAATCCATTATATACTGAGGAAAGATAATCTACTTTTCAGAGCACAAACTTTGGAAGAGTCAAAATTTAGAGCTGTGTTCTGATATATTCGGTAGATAACCCTCCTACAAAGGGTAAAATGACTGATAACTTTTAAGTACTCGGAGTTCTAAGGACAAAGAGTGGTATCTAAGAGAGAAATATTGTTTATTTTATTATACTGTATATGTGTTCCAGCATCTAAAACTGTGTCAAAACCATAGAGTTCCTTGCAAAGAATTAATTGATATTCCAGATCTGTTGTTGTCTGTCTGTGTAAGTGTGTGAGGCAGATGGGTTAATGCATAAACTGGAAAAATATATTCTTAAACAATGGTTTGGAGAACACAAAGAGTAGGCCAAAATAAAATCTTATTAAATTAAACTGGTTTGGCCTGATCAAGCTGAATCAAGACTGATCTTAAAAAGTTTATTTCATTCTTTTCTTCTTTTTGAGAACTCTTTGAATTGAAATAACTGATACAACCATAAGTTTATTAATGTCTTATTAATTAACTTCAGATAGGGATTTTTTTCTATTTCCATTTTTTAAGCAGATATCGAGATGGTAAATAAACTGTATCTATAAATGGTGGGCACCATCATGAGCTCCCCAAGCTCAATAATATCAAGGAAATGAAGTATAACAGCTCCCATGCCTAATTTGTAAATTATTGGACCAATATCACCAAGTTCACTTTAAATAAACACAAGTCTGTGCTGGATTATTTTGTGCAGGGTTTTCTTTCTTTCTTTCTTTCTTTCTTTCTTTCTTTCTTTCTTTCTTTCTTTCTTTCTTTCTTTGAATTTTCCTAAATTGTGGATTATTTGATATTTCAGACAGCTTTAGTGATCTCATAAATGATACTCTTGTTTACATGATCCACTAGTAATTTGGAGTTTGTGCCAAGTACTAGGCATTAAATGAAATCCGCTGAACATCGTCTGAGTGTCCACTCCTGCCAGTCAATCTTAGAACCAGAAAAAAAAATGCTACCTCTGAGACATAGGTGGCAGTGGTTCAATGGCTCGTTAGCAGGGAAGGACATCAGTAACAACTAACTAAAACATAAAGGGATATAGTGTCCTCTCTCAATTTCAGGGAAAACCCTCAGTGAGTGGGATAGCCCCTTTGTGTGTGAATGTCAGTAAGTAAAATGGTGTTATCAGCTGAGTAAAGAGGAACACCTCCAGCGGTAGATGACTTGAAATATGTTTTTAATAAAACTAACTCCACTGTTTATTTCTCAGAAATGTTTCCAGGGTTGTCTTCTTTAATGTGAGGGCTAAAGCTGTAGACTCAAGAAAGTCTTAGCTGCAGCGTTTAATCTGGAACTTCCAGCACCTTTTTGCATTAAACTCTTGGAGTGAGCATCTTCATATATTTGTTGAAGAAACATTTATTTCCAAATATAGTCAAATCTTTGTCTCACTGCCTTCTTTTGTAGCTTTTCGTTGTGGATTTGGGGAAAAATTGAACAATGTTAAAAATACTAAATATGATATTAATATGCATATGCATATACATGTCTATGTTAATATAAAAGTAAAATATACCATAATCAATTAGAGAGATAGTACTGTGTAGTGCTTGGTGCATGGGATTGAGTCAGAACAAATGAATGGTTTTCCAAACTCTAATAAGGTCCATAGTAGCTTGTGTTCGATTTTGGATTCTGCCACTGGCCTGTCATGACCTTCGGCAAATCATGTAACCTCTCTGTGCCACAGTTTCTCCAGCTGTCAAATGGATGTAATAATACTTCACACCAGCTGTGAAGAATGATGAACCTTTACTAAAGCAGTCGCGCGCACACACACACACTTGGATAGAAGAGAATATGATTGCTGCTATTATAACTTATTTATTTATTACATGACTAAATCTGGTTAGAGAGTTTGGATGTGGATATACTATAATTAAGTTGAGAGTGAGTCCAGTTAAACTTCGGAGGTTATTTAAAGGGGCCTGTCTTCAAGTGCTACTCATATGTGTTAATATAAGATTCTCATGCAAACTACCTTACCTGCACAGGGTTCTAGGGCAGTCCATGTGCATGTTAGAATAAATGTTAATATTTAAAACTAGAGCTATGGCGTATTTTAATTGTTTTGCAGTTAGTCCAGTTGAATGTATATTTTTATTTCAAACTGATTTGGGGTTTTGTATACTCTTATGCAAGAATGTGTGCATTAATATTTATTATTGGATAAATGCAGACAAATTGCCTGGCAGTGTGCTTTTATTGTTTGTATTGTTCTGGAACCTTCTAAGAGCTCACTATGTTCAACTCCGTGCAAATACATATTAAGAGAGGACCCCTGCCCCCGAATAGCTTACAATCTGATTTAATATGATTCAGTAGATGAGTGTGAGAAACAAGAGGTGAGTAAGGGAAAAAGAGGGTAATGAAAATAAAATTATGTAGTTACATAGGTGGCTGTTACACATCTTGATGATATTTTAGAGTACCACTTTTTTATAATAAATAGAAAGATGAAAAATCAGCTATTCCATGACTTATGCATTACCAAATTTTCATTGGTTTGCTGATTTCTGGTAGCCATATCCGCTGTGTTGGCACACACATCAAGATAGTCCAGGCATTGATGACTTTACATTCTAGAAGATGAAAATAAAACTCTTCAGGAGAATCATATCAGGGTTCATTTTAGATAATTTTGTGAATATATTCTTATATCTGATTGCTTTCCATTTTAAAAATTTCAGTCTCTTCTGGACGATGTGAATCTTTAGCAGAGAGCCAGGGCTTGATACACTGTGATTTGGCGCTCATTCCATGCAGGTAAATATAAATACAGTTAATTTTCTTATTTTTGTTTCCTCCTAAACAGGTGACAAAGAAAGTCAAGTCTATGCAGATGTTCCATACTCCTGTAACGTATGCCATGCAGGGTGACAGAGTAGGCGTTTGTGTGACCCAGTTTGATCCCAAGCTGCTAGAACGAGGTCTAATCTGTACTCCAGAATCTCTCCAGACCATACATGCTGCTGTCATCTCCTTGAAGAAAATCCAGTATTTCCGTGGTGCTCTTCAGACCAAAGCCAAGTTTCACATCACAGTTGGTCATGAAACAGTCATGGGAAGAGTGATGTTTTTCAGTCCAGCTCCTGCTGACTTCAGCAAAGAACCCCTGGAGAATGCTTTTGATTTTGAAAAGGAATATCTTTATCAAGAGGAATACTTATCCAAGGGGTCAAAATCTTCAGAGGAAAACAAGGAAAATGACCAAACAGGAGAAGGGCAGCTTCCGAGGCAACAATGGGCTTTACTGGAGTTTGAAAAACCTGTCACTTGTCCTAAATTTTGCCTTGTGATTGGCTCCAAGCTGGATACTGATATTCATGCAAACACCTGCAGGTTGGCGTTCCATGGGGTATTGCTTCAAGGGATGGAAGACAAGAACTATGTTGAGACTTTTCTTCCAAAGCTGAAAGTGTATAAATTGAAGCATAAGGAAGGACAAGTGGAGAGGGTAAGCTATATTTCTTAATATTTTATGCAGCCAAAATAAAATTATTCTGCGTTGTGATCTGGATCCCAAGTATACCACGGTGCTATGGAATTTTCCACCAAATTATGCCCCATAATTCCTGTTTCCGTTTTTTAAAAATTTAGTTTTGTAGGCCTTTTGTTTGCAAAGAAAATCTGTGAAAGATTGTATATACCTGATCCAGTATTTCCTGTTTGAGCTTGAGGTCATTCAGAAACCATCGCTTTTGAGAAGGGTGTGAACAGCACCATCCCTTTGGGGGGGTGGGGAGGGAGTAAGTTAGAAATTTAATGGTCGCAATTTCATTGTCAACATTAACTGTTTCACAATTTATCATTTTAACAATTTAGCTGGTGTGTTTGTCCGCAAACTCAAACGGCCTCCCATACTTTCTCAGGAGCCCCAACTCTCCTCTGCCCAGCTGCCAAAACCTCTGCTTCCGCTGGCATGTACAGTACAGTTATTCTATAGTTTCAGTCCAAAATTGTGTAGTACATTGACTATTAAAAATGTAGAGGCAGCATAAAATAAATAGAAATTAATATCAGGTTAAAGAACACTATTGATTGAGTTATTAATTTTTATACTCAATTAAATAAAAACCTCAGTGATTAAAATTTATCTCAGCATACCACAGAATCTCCTGTTGTCTGCACTGGAGTGCTACAATATACAGAAACATTGCCATAGGACTTAGATCAAGCCTGTCACTGAGTACATGGGGCCTTGAATATTATATATTATGCACATGTCACACACACCATATGGTAAGCCATGTCACAATGCATACACAGCCCATCATTAAAGAATGCATGGGACTTTTTGCAAGAGTCAAGACATTTGTCCTGACTAAGATTTAATTTGGGTAATTACATTGTGACTATTTTTACAAACCCTTCGGTTTCCAGTATGTTGTTTTTCTTCACTTTTTGTATTAAACTATTGTTGTATTGCTTTGGTGGTCTTACCTCATTTGTGGCTGCATTTCAGTAATGGGTGGATAACCATTTGTGTATAGTGCCTGTAATACACTTTGGAATTCTTTGTAGTGAAAGGAGCTCTAGAAATGTAATTATATACATTTTTAATCTGTTACCCTTTTATTAACAATGTTAATGTAAATGTTAACCAGTAGTGTTTACATGATGCTTTGAAAATGTAAAATGTGATATAATTGCTAAGCATTATTATATTAACTTATACTATAGCAGAGAATTGTTAATTTTTATTCTCGTAATACAAAAATCTGATCATTCTAATAAAACAATCTGCAGCAGTTTCAGCCCTGTTTCTTAGCACACTGCTATAGTGAGATGCTGTACATTTCCATATTTTTATATGAAGAACTAAACACTTATGAAAATAGATGTCACAGTACATTTTGTGGTACAGAATTTTTGTTTTTTGTTTGTTTACTTTGTAATCTGCAACAGGTGCATATTAATGAGGTTCTTCTCTAAAGCACTGACTATTAATTACATCCAGACAACCAATTAGTTGTAATTCTCTCCTCCTCCTTTCTCTCTGAGGGCTAGTCTACAGTACCGTGCTACGGCTGCACCGATGCAGATATGCCGCTGTAGTGCGTCTGGTGAAGACGTGTTATGCCAACGGGAGATTGCTCTCCAGTAGGCATAATTACTCCAACTCAACCAAGAGGCAGAAGCTATGCTCTCCCACCGATTTAGCGCTGGTGTGGACGGCACTTAAGTCGATGTAATTTGCATCACATGGGGGTTGGCTTTTTCACACCCCTGAGTGACATAAGCTTACGTCAGCTTAAGCGGTAGTGTAGACAAGCCCTGAGACATCAAATATCTCTGTAAAAGTAAGTATTTTGTAGTATTTTCCTTGTTGTAGCTGCTGCTTTCCAGGGACACTTTGCTTCTCCCCCATGCTTTTGGTGCTAAATCTGGAGGTCAAGATTTTCAAAAACGACTAGTGATTTTTTGGTTGCCTCAGTTTTTGGGTGCCCAACTTGATATTCCTTGAAGAAGTGTACGTTTCAGAGAATATAGTTTTCAGCACTTTCTGAAAATCAGGTCCTTTTTGAGCCATCTCAAGTTGGGAACCCCAAATCACTGTCACTATTCAAAATCTTGACCTGGAGGTTTATGTGCATTTCATTCCTCTCAAATAGCTAATTTTCCTTGCCGGTAGATAGTGGCAGTCCCAAACTAGAGCACCCTACCTTCCCAACTTTGGGGAAATTTGGATTTGATACATAATGTTTCTGTCTCATCTGTACATTTTTATACCAGTTTTTCTGTTCTGTCTTGTTCCATTTATACTCTATTGAGGCTCTGGCACCTTTTCTCAACTCTAAAAATTACTTCCTTCACCTCTGCTAGAACTTTCAATGTATGCAAAGCTCCTAATGCTGGTAGCATTGGTAACTGCCAGAGAAACCTGGCTTGTCTGTGACTTTTCTGCTTGAATGTGGATATTAGCAAGACTAATGAGAACAAGAGTTGGTGCAAACTAGGGGGGCCCATACTGTGGTGTTGTTTTTAAATTGAAATGATCTGGATTCAGATTAACTTTCTTTACTCAGTATTATTATTATTTCCCTTACATTACAGAGGGAATCGTGAGTACTTTGGTAAATAGTTTGAACAATTATGTAATATTCACAGAAGCTACAATGAATAGCTGTGGTACGCTTTGACTAACTGATATCTTGCAATTTTTAGTGCTGGTCATACAATTTTTATGAATAATTTTATTGAATTTTGTCCATCAGTTGTAAAATTATTACCATATAGTCCACTATCTGACCAGCTCTGTAAATAATTGAATAATAGGAATCAAATTATTCATTTTTTCTCTTGTCTGGCAAATAACAGACAAACGACTACTTTTTAAAAATTATTTGACCAGCGTAGTAATTTCTGAAAGTGATATCCTTAGTGAATTGTAGCAGATATCCCTGTAACTTTTAAAACAGCACTACTGTGGGCTAGGATGGGTGGCAGATGTCTTACCTTTTTCCAGTCATGGAAATGTCACCAAAGCTGTAGAAAATGGGGGCATTAATCACTCTCTTTACTAACACCAATTGGTTCTACAAATGAGGATCTACTGTAAAATCATCAACTCGTCATCTGTGTTAGGCCTGTATATACTAAATGGCATATAGATAAAAAATTCATTCTGATTCTGATTACTGTGGAACAGTGTTTCATTCAGAGTTAGTATTTTCCCCCCGTATATGCCAAAAAGATATGACAGAGCATGTTACTATAGTATAGGCTGAGTGTAAAGATAGAGGAGTACATCAGGCCTTTGGAGGGTTGATGGGAAGAGGACGGTGCCAGTTATCATGGGTCTGCTGGGGAAGTACTTACGGCTTCATATTGAGGGAATAGAATGAAAGGGTTTGGTGAGTGGAGCGCGGCAGGAACCAATTGGTGGTGCAGTGTCTTTTTTTTTTTTTTTTAAAGTTATACAAAGTCTCTAGTTAATAGAAATTCTGAATCAGTTGGTCCCACCCTGCTGCTGATGGATAGCTAGAGATTAGGATCATTGAATTTAGGGTGTCTATTCTTGGCATTGGTGCAGGAAAATCTCATTCTCTCTGCTAAAGCAAGGAAGTTGGTGGCCCCCCTCCTCACCTTCTCTGGGGAGGCACAAAAATAATAATTTTACCTTTATGGGAAGCTAACTTTCCCTCCTGAGAATACTGTTAGGGAAAATTGGCTTCATAACTTCCTGAAGGGCTGGGAATGAGAGAGGAAGGCTGGGGTATGTAGTGTTTGGCTTTCCAGTTTCAGTGGGGGGAAACAGATTCCTGTAACCACTGGAATTCAGTGGTATCCACTTGTAAAATGTTGTACTCAATCTAATGTGGATGCTCCCTAGCCCCCTGCTTGCTGTTGGAATTAAAATAAACCCTCCAACAGTTTAATGACCAGTTAACCCAGGAGAAATTAGGTATTTATGCTTTTGTGCTTTGTTTCTACTCTGATTAATTTCAGAGCACTTATGAAATAGTAAGACTGTAAATTAATTAAGTCTCCAGCATCCTCAAACTCATTTTTAATGCATGATACAGTGGCACTTCCTCATAGCTTTTAAGCTATCTGACAGCAGAAGAGAGGCATTCTGGCCACTTCAAAAAGGGTGAAATCATCAAATGAGAGAACACTGTTAAAACAAAACCCCACCCAACCCCTCCCCCCGCCCCCCAAGTGCTCTTTGAATTAGCTTATGCACTGTTTCTTTAAATCCCTGCATAATGTTACTGGCTCTGCTGAACTGCTTCAGGGTTGTGAATATTGCATACACATCTAGGTATTGAATGCTCTTGTTCTGCTCAGTGTACTGGTTACATTATCTATCATTTGGTATCATGTCAATTTAATGCCACAAGCAGGAGGGACATAGCAAGTACATTGGAGCTCTGGAAGTGAAAGGGTTAAAGACTTTCTACTGTGATCAGTGAGTGAACTCGAAACGTTACATGTCTGAAATGTGTCCTCAGCTATTCTTTCCCCCACTCTTGGTAATTTATATACGTATAGGGTATGTACTGCACTCACCACAGTAGTATCTTATAGCTAGTTCAGAGGAACATTTTGGTAACTTCTTTTTCTATAAGGCCACCTCCTGTCTGAGTCAGTCAGTGGTGTTTTGATGTTCAGCTGCATGGGCGATGGGTGTCCGAGAGATTTGTGGCCATAGTGGAGAATTTTCTGTTAATCAGCATTGAGATCATGGCCTCTCCCAGACCTTTTCTACATCAGAAAATCCCACTATGTTAGCTTTATGGTGTGGTTTTAATCTGATTTGCTTAAGTTGGTGCAAAAGGGCATGTGGACACTCTTATTTTGGTTTAAACCAGGTTTTTTTCGGCTTAATTAAATTGATTAGAAATCTGTTTAATATAAACCAAATTAAACCTACTCTTAAACTGAAATAAGTGTGTCTAGACTTGGGGTTGGTTGTACTTGTTGAACTTAATCAATTTAAAACATTATTTA